GAAAACAATAAATATATAAGGTTGCATGTTGCTGTGATAATTCTCATTCCACAAAATTAATGTTTACTTTAATCCACAAGATCCTAAAGCAGGAGACACAAAAAAAGTGACACAAACAAAGATTTAAAGTTAATACCATCATTTAATATACTGCCAGAAGAAGAATTATCATCAGCTTGATTTCTGATTCTTGAAATTTTTATTATTCAATAATGCTGCATCAACTGTATAATTAGATTTAGTGTCAGTGATTACATAATCTACATTACATTCACAAAGCATTGGACCAAACCTTGTTCTTGCCCTGCAATAAACCAAAATAAAATGCAACATGGTTGCATTCTACAAAATGAAAATGTCCATTTATCAATCCTGCTTGATATACATGTAAGTCTACAGGATTTGATTTTACAATAGAGAAAATACAGCATTTGTACATGTAATTTAAGAATAAAGTACTGAATATTGTATTATTGATTCAATATATGAAAATTATAAAGCAACATGTAAAGAAACGCATAAACAGAAAAGAAGTAACTTTACTTCTGTTTGATTAATACATAAAGATATTACATTTCAAACCCCCTCAATTATTAAACTAGGACGCCCTTCAGATTAAATTCAATTTCTTTGCCTAAATCAGGTCTTTGAACGTCAATAACGTCCGTGTATATGCAACCTTCCATCTTGACTCAGTATCTTGTAAAATTCTGAAATCATTAAAGCAATGTTCAATGCATCACTGTCGATAATGGAAATGACACGAACAGTGCAGTTTGGAGTTCCTCCAAGACATTCAACAATTGCTCTAGCAGTTTCTTTAAATACTCTTTGCTTGTTGATGTTGTCTTTTATTCCTAAAAATAAATAGTTTATGGTTTATGTCTTTTATTCCTAAAAATAAATAGTTTATGCTTTATTTCCCATATTTCTTCATGACACGAAAACGTCCTGAACATAAAAATAAACTACGATATATATTAGTTAAAGGTATCAAAAAACCATTTACATGTTTACGGGGGCATAAATATGTCTCTCTGTCTGTCTGTCTCTCAGTTTGTCTGTTTGTCCGCAAAAACTTTAACCTTGCCCATAACTTTTGATTTAGTGGAGCTATGACTTTCATATTTCATATATATATATTCCTTGTGACAAGATTTTTCTTTGGGTACCACCAAATTTGACCTTTTACCTTGACTTGGAGTTTGACCCACTTTTACATGAAAATTTTAAATTTTTACTTTGGCCATATCTTTTGAACAGTAGACACCAGGCTCCGGGATCATGAAACTGTCTTAAGTCAGACTTAACTCCAGAAATTTGCACTTAAAATTTACATTTATACTTCACATATGTAATGTTTGTTAAAAGACCTTTCACTGAATACCAACAACCTTGACCCTTTGACCTTGACCTTGTAGATTTCCGTACTTGTGAAAAAAACTTTAACCTTGGCCATAACTTTTGAACGGTAAGGGATAGGGCTTTCATAATTCATATATGTAATCCTTGTGAGAAGGCCATTCATTGAATACCAAGAACTTTGACCTTTGAGTTTGACCCACTTACTTTTACATGAAAATTTTAAAATTTTACTTTGGCCATATCTTTTGAACAGTAGACAATTTATACTTCACATATGTAATGAGTATTAAAAGACCTTTCACTGAATACCAACAACCTTGACCCCTTGACCTTGTAGATTCCTGTACTTGTGAAAAAACTTTAACCTTGGCCATAACTTTTGAACGGTAAGGGATAGGACTTTCAAACTTCATATATGTAATCCTTGTAAGAAGTCCCTTCATTGGATACCAAGAACTTTGACCCTTTGACCTTGACCTTTGAGATTGACCTACTTTGAAAAAGCAAACCTTGACCTTAACTTTTACAGAGTTAGGGCTAGTGCTTTCATACTTTACATATTTGATCCTTATGACAAGACCTTTCATTTGATAACAATAATTTTGACCCTTTGACCTTAACCTTGGAGTTTGACCTACTTTTTAAGAAATTGAACGTTGACCATAACTTCTGAACGGTTAGGTCTAGGGCTTTCATGCTTTACATAAGTATTTTATGTGGCAAGATCTTTCATTTGATACTAAATACATTGACCTTTTGACCTTGACCTTGGAGGTCTTTGTACTTATTAAAAAACTTTAACATTAGCTTACTTTCAAATTACACAATTGTTTTCCAGTGAGAATACCCTACTTTTGGTACTAATTAATTAAATTTGCATTTAAGAAAAGCTTAATCTTTGCTATGTTGCCATACGAGGGCATCAGTGTTTTACAAACACATCTTGTGTATCAATAAAGAAATCAGTATGAACAGATGTGTTTCGTTGGAATGTCTTAATTACCTCCACCAAAAGTTGGTATTGCAATTGTACAAAGCTTAAGTTTTGAAGCCTCTTTGAAAACGTTTTGAATGCAGGTTCTCAAGTCTTTGATCTTTCTGTCTAATGAGACGTCGGATCTCCAACTCGGAGAATAAACATGCAAAATATTGTAAAATTTCAAAGATTTTGGTGCAGATGTAGTTCGGATGTCTCCAACCCGCCATGTACTTCCATGAAACTTTGCAATTTCCTCAGGATATGCTTTACATTCGCAAAGTTTAAGACTTTTGGCAATGTAACGATCACTTTTCATTTCACCATCCTGTGGGGCTACTAATGCCTCAGCATCTGCAAATAGAATTTCACTGGCAAATATTTTTACTACTGTTCCTCCACCATGATAAAAATGCTCTTCGTTGTCTGCTTGATGGAAAACCCAATGCTGGAAACCTCTAAATGCAAATTTAAGGGGATGAAGGACCTTTAGCTGAAAAAATACCTGTCATTTAATTTTTTTCATATTTTGTATATATCTTATTTAGTATGTCCTACATACTATAAAGCAGACATATCAATAGGTTTCTAGACTTATTTCTGAGATATTGAGTGACAAATACCATACCCCACAGTGTCTGAGCGGAGTTTTTATTCTCCGTATTTCTGGGTCCATTACTCGGTCGATAATTGAAATTTTTCACCGTAGATAAAAAATATACCAGCGGAAATGTGTCTTTTAAAATATTTTAGAGTATGAATAGGGTTAAAAATTCGAAAAAGCAAGATTCTTTTGTAACACCACATCTGGAGACGGAAATTTACGACTTTTTTAGGACAACTTAAACCATAAAAAAATTAATTTGCAAAAAATCCTATCATTCAATATTTGAAAATTTACGTCAAAGTTCAAGGTCGTCATTGTATTGATTAACTGTAAAAATATCGATTGGTGAAGCTGAGCTCAATATTGTACGGGGCAAAGTTAAACGAGTCATGATCATGAGAAAAACGTGTCATGTTTACATTTCTTGAGTACGGGAAAACCCAACTATGACGTCACACATTCCTGAAATAAGCGAAATAAGACAAACCCACAGAACTTTTCCGTCAACAACCATGTAAAAATATTTTTTGCGTTCTGAAATTTACAAAATACCCTACCATGTACATATTATGGCCCGTTTTTATGATTTTATACTACCCGTTTTTACCGTGTATGATCTTACTGAACTAAGAGATCCACTATGACGTCAAAGACGCACTGGACGCGCAGAGTAGGGAAACGGCAAAGTGGATTAATCTATTCCGTAATTTGATAATATTTGCAAGAAATTTTGAATGTTTTCAGATATTTTTATACTAGATGGTGAACGCAAACAAACAATCAAAAAAATTATACAAGTACTGTGGTTTCAATCTCGTTTTGTACATATTTTATCAGAGATTATGACGTAAATCAACTGAGTCACGTGACCATACATCCTTCATCCCCTTAATGGCGTCTAATTTCGTCTGATCTGTGTCAACAAAGTAGATTTCTCTGATTTTATTTGTGGAACTTTTTGGGTAAGCATCAATGTATGACGTCACAGCTGATACATACGCTCTACCACAAACAGGAAGTGGTACAGATCCAACTCCACCTGAAAGAAGTAAAACTTGTTATGGAATCACCCATAGTAATTTATTCACATGATAAAATGGGGGATTGATTATGTTGTTTTACGTCCCATTCGAGAAAGTTTCGCTCATATAGAGCACCATGATTATGTCGGTGAAGGGTATCAAATTTTGAGCAGTGGGGGATCTTTATCGTGCCAACATATGCCGTGACACGGGGCCTCGGTTTTTAAGGTCTTATCCGAAGGAGGGGATGCAAGATTCAATGAAGCAAGCTGAGCACAAAAAACCGGAAAAGATCGGACATTTCTTGGCAGAAGATTCAGAGAAATAGAACTTTTTCGAAATACCGGGGTATCTTCGATTCTTCTTCTTCTTCTAAATACAGCAAAACTTCAGATCGCTGAAGATTACATGCCGGTACGCATGCGTGACCTAAGTATATACAAACTTAATTTAAAGAAAAACTGCTTTTATTTACAAAATTGCTGATTAAAAGAAAATTGTGAATGTTATTTTATTTTACATGATTTTGTTGAGAACAACTGGAGTCAGCTGTTCTCTAAAAATGTATACTTTATATACAATTGTAGTGATTTGGACGACGGACTAGGGGAGCAAATTCCATTGTATTACAGTGTGTGGAAAAAAAGACCATTTGTAAGTTTCTTTTGAAGCTTGTTTAGGCTATCGGCCATCTGTGACAAAGGCTTCTCCGTTATGAAGTGTATAATTTCTCTTCGAATCCAAAATTTCAGTACATTGCCTTTGAACTGACGAACCTGGTTCCAAGAGTATGTTATGAGATAAATCAGTCCATATCGGATTAGGCTCATCTTCTTAATATTAATATTCGTTTTGGTTTGTTATTTGCTTTTGTTTTAAAGAAACATATTTGTGAAGATAAAAAGAAATACGCTGTACAAAGTAAATGCCATAAGATTCAGATTCATATAGTAAAGAGTTTTTATAAAAATATACTTGTTTCTAGTCATCTTAAATGGCATGTAATGAGATTACTTACATGTGCTTATAAGTGGTATTGCAATGGTACAAACATTATTGTCATTTCCATTCTCCAAGGAAGCTTTCACAGTGTTTCAGCAATATCTTCTACACATTTTTCGTGGCGCAGTGGTTAGAGCGTCTGCTCTAGAGTCGCGAAGTAAGGAGTCAATCCTTACGTCGCGGGTTCGAATCCCTTTGTGGGACGTGGAGACCGGTCCTTCGGATGAGACCGTATAAACCGAGGCCCCGTGTCGCAGTAGGTACTGGCACGAAAAAGATCCCTCACTGCTCAAAGCCTGAGTCAAAGGCCCTGAGTGCCGAGCATAGGACAAAATTTGTAGCCATCCACCGGCAAGTGGTGGCGTCTCCATATGAGTGAAAAATTCTCGAGAGGGACGTTAAACAACATGCAATCAATCAATCTACACATTTTTCACATGGACTACCTACTTTCAGCTCGGAGTAGCTATTCCAGTTTGGTACATTCACGTACGTTGATGATTTTCAGCAGATGAAACAAATTGCCCCCATCTGTGACAAAGGTTTCTCCTTATGAAGTGTATAATTTCTCTTCGAATCCAAAATTTCAGTACATTGCCTTTGAACTGACGAACCTGCTTCCCATGCAGAGTATGTTATGAGATAAATTAATCGATATCGGATTCACGATTGCGTCTGCTTTAATTTGGAAAATATTTGCATCAAAAACATAAACTTTTACGTAATTATTTTGAAAAACAATGTCTGTCTCCTTCGACAATACGTACAAGATTTACATCTGGGACCCCAGCTTTAACGTTCATTTTGACTTTCATCGTGGCTATAAAGAGATAAATACAGAGCCATCGATCAGCATCATGTTTACGACATATTATGTGTTTGTTGATTATTTAGCACTTAGAACCACAA